ACTTTATTCCGTTTAGTTAGGAAAGAGTGATTCTTAAAGTATTCTCTTTGACGAGACGAAGGTTCCAAATGCAATCAAATAAAATCCACCTCTCCTCCCTCATCCATGGACAAGTTCAGAGTCACATCATTGGGCATATATTATTGTTGGTGAACTTAAATTACTCTCATCTAACCTTGCAAATTTACACTGCAGCTGTTTCCCCCTACCTCGCCCACCTTGCAAGGGTCTCTTTGTAATAAACATCCTCTGTCATATCCTGAATTTAAAATTAAGTTCCTTGGAGACCAACTAGAGGATAACCATTCAATGGAAAAACTGGGCCAAAAAGGGGGATTGGGCTTGTAATAGTTGACTCTATTAAATTTTGCTTTCAATTTAATCCTTCTTCAGCTATCAATAGATACATGTAGACTCTGAATTATTGTGTGTGTTCTGAATAAGCTATGAAAGGAAGCAATTGTACAGAAATGTCAAGTATCCAATACTAAATGACCTTCGTAGTACAAAGGGTGTGATTTATTTCTTATTTTCTGCATTCCAATAATTTGTGGTTCTGCATTATTAGGGATGCAATTGTCCTGAGGAAAATACTGCACAGTTAAACAATATTCTATCTGAATGAATTGTGGATAATAAGATAGCTGTGCTTAACACAAGACTGCAAACAGATTGTCAGGTGAGAAACAGAGACCTTCTCGCAAGATATACTGTACACCACCAAAAGAAGTCCAGGGACTGGTGTTATTCTCTTCGATGCAATTTGAAGAAGGACATAATTATTCTAAAGAGGGTAAATAGTTCTGTATGAAATGCACAAATTTCAGTTTAATTTTAGAGTGTGGATCATAGCTTACTTATTTGGATGGGGACATGATCAGAAACTTGTATAATATGATATACGTATTTATTTAGTGTTTACTTTCCTCAGGGCCTGTCAAATGCATAACAAGAGAATGGAATTAATGCCTCAGCTGGTATCCAGGCAGGGTAAGGAATAGTTGACCTAGGTTTATACATCATATGAGTACATATGCACAGTGCTCTTGACTGGGAAAATACATAATGAGCAGCAATGGTACAATTTGCCTATGGTAAAGTACTACAACTAACATATAATTTGTCAGCAGCTGTTAAAAGTTACCTTTAAGAGTTTTCATCTTTATGATGATTAATGCCCAGGCTGCAAGAGGTAAAGGAATATTCATTTAGGAATTGCTTATATAATTTTCACTGCCTCCCTTTTGAATATTCATTTAAGGTGAGATCAGTAATGAATCACCTTTGTTTCAATTTTAAGCTGCTATGTATACTGTTAACAATGTTGGTAAGCTAGCGTCAGATATCTTCATGGAAGTTTCTAAGAAAATTTCACCACAGGCTCTCAAGGTTTGTGCCTTTTGAAACTATTTTTACATTTTTCACTCATACTTCCAAAGTGGACAGTACACAAAGTTATTTTATATAATTTTATGGGGCTTGAGAGAGACCTGTTGTGGTTGTTGGAGTAAATTAATTTCTCCATAGAAATGGCAAATTTTGTCTACTTTTTTTTCAATGCTCAGAAGCCACTGACATTTTAATCCTGTTCTCAAGGATTAGCCAGGTTTCAGGGTTTTCTATGCCATGTTTTTTTAAGGCAATGCTTTTCTTTTCACATGGCATTACACAATTTATATTTAGGGTGCAGAGATAAAGAGAAGGCATTTAATGGCAACCATAGGACAATTACAATCAGAATACCAAAAGCTACATATTAGGTACGTGTTGTTTGCAACTGCTATCAATGTTAGCTGATTTGTTTAGCTTCAGTTTTTATATGAGGATAATGGTAGGATAATCTATGCCAGGTTAATTGTGTTGAATTCTGC